AAACTTACTTGTAGTACAAGATGCAGGCCCACTGCCTCCGCTTGTAATGCCCATGTTGAAGAGAACCTTCGGCTGACAACTGAATATTCTGTGTTAGATCAGAATCCTAAGTCTCTCGAAATTCAGCAATTTATAGTTTTAATTTGCTAATTCAGCTGTTGACGACAGAGGGTAGTTAACTCCTCCTCAGTGTCCTCAATTCTCTTAGTAATATTCTAATTGGTTATTATTGGTGGTTGTGGGCGGACCCATGGCGTCTCATCGCTGTTTATGCGGTAATATTACGATACTCCAGTGGCCTAGTGAGGCAAGCTTCTTGCTACTGCGGTTACGCATACTTGCTGATCATTCTTAACCTATTTGCCTGTCCAGGTGTTGACAGATTACTGTAATAACTGTGAAACACTTTTCGCAAGTCTCGAACATTTGGGTAATGCCTTACAATCTCCAATCTCAAATTTGAGCCTCTACAGACTTCAGTGGCCATTCTTTACGTAACTTTCCCATAATAAATCCTGAACGGGTATCTCCCTGCTTTTGGTGCAAGCTTGGGAAGACGCTAGCTCTTAAATACAAGAATTAACCTAAGTCTCACTACGCTTGTTCCTGCCCTTACATTCAAACAATTAAATTTGAAATTAATAGCATAAATCATATTTAAATAGGCAGCACTTCAGTGGAACGGTTAGATTAGAGGCTATTGCAGATAATGCAGGTTTCTGTGCACCTTGCCTCAGCTTTATTTCTACCTTGGGAGCAGTGTACATCTGCAGCCACAGTAAGGCTGTTATTGCCAGAAGGGCATATCACGGTGGAGGCTGACTTGGGTCTGCATGGTTCCGACTGTTTTAAGATTTTCTTTAATTGGAAGGGTTTTATTTTCCTGCCATACAGATGCCATTTCTGAATCTGAATATTCAGATGAGGCACTGTCGGACTTCACGCTCACTGGGGACCGGAGCGCGTGTTTAGGCTTTATTGTTAATATGGTTGATTTTTCTAATAGTTGTATTTTTGTCGGATTTATTTCTATATACTTTCCTGGGTTTCTTTACGTTTGTATTTAGGGCTGAGGGGCCTCCGACGTCCATAACCCTCTTAACGCCTTGGGGGTCCAATCTAATGGCCTTAGACTTCACCATGCTGGCAGCTACGGTTTACTCACCAACACCGAGCGTACCAGGGAAATGACAATACTGACACTGATATTTGGAACGGGGTACAAGGTAAAAGGAACTGAACCAGGGACAGTTGCGTCATCCGATGACAGCAGTAACCTCCGACAAGCGGGCGGGCCGAAGCCCACCTGAACTTAGTCGTACAAGCTAGCGCCGATTCACCGATGTTGCAACACTGGTTAAGGGTGGAATGTAAGGATTACAACGGATCCTCAGCTTACATTGGCACCGTTAGGTTACAACTGAGATAGTACCGCCGGGAACACGCGTAAAGCTCCTCGCCCACTAGAGCAGCATGGTTAGCAGAACAGTGCAGTGCCGTTGTAGTATGCCAGCGAGTGCGCCCACTGCAGGCGTGCAGCGTCAGAGACGGGACCGAAAGCATTCCCCCCACCAAAGTTGTTACCCACTACGTTTACCCCTCCAAGTTCAACCAAGTCCGCTTTCGTGCAGTCTTGCGCTCCATGTTGTACAGAATATTGCAATGACCGACTCGTCTTCGGAAGAAGAAACGATTTGTGTAGCTATGATGCTACAAGAGGATCAGCCAAAGCGAATATGGGTGCACGATATTAACAAGAAAAGAAACGAATTCGGAGAGCTCCACACGATATTTCACGACCTAACTGAAGACGATAAGAAGTGTTTTATCTACTTTCGCATGAGCTATGCCAAATTTTGTGCGCTATTATTAGCAATAGAGCGACGCATAAAGAAGAACACGAATCTTAGAGAGGCCATAACCCCAAGAGTAGCAGTAGCAGTAGCAGTAGCAAAGTAGTACCTAACTATACTGTTTGTACACGGAAGGTACAGGTACAGTTGTCCCTGTGTTCGACGAATGAAAGCACGACGCCATTAAAGGCTTATGGGGGAGTGGATGTATAGATCACATTTTCTTGACCCCTACCGGGACTCGAACTCTGACCCCTCGGTCGTCCAGCCCGTAGGCCGTCGCTATACCTACTACGCTACCGGGGCTCACGTGCATGGGAAGCCTACTGTAGACCGTGGGTTAAAACATTATATATGCAGTTTGTTTTCATTCATGTATTGCATACTAATTATTAGTCTACCTGATTCGTTCAGCGTTTCGCCAATCTCCGTCCAAGCGTTTTCTCTTCTCGTGCTGTCATAATAGTAGGCATGACTGCAGTCGTAGAGGATATTGTACTCTTGTACAGAGGAGATTAATCTTTCCTCGAACACCATGTCTTGCCTCATTGACACTCAACTCAGGAATGACAAAGCGTTTTGGTAGGTGGAAGGGGGATGCGGCGTGCCGCCATGACACTGCCGTGCAGAATGTTTGCCTCTTCGAGCAACCGAGACGACACTACACTATACCATACTGTACTATACTGGCACGACCCTACTCTAGTGGGCGCACTTCCATTTAAATACACGGAGAGCAATGCGTCTGCAGCTTTCGCTCTGCACTGCTCGCATACGACACTGTTCTAGTGGGCGAGGACCTTAAGCTGGAATCCTCTTCTTTGCTTCACTTTGTCTTCAGCGTCAGCTGTACGCTGTCTTTGGGTTCCTGCGCTGCCCCAAGAGAACAGGCCTGGCTGGGATATACGTCCTTCCTGCCTGAAGTCTCTCCGACAACTGTGACTAAAGTGGTATAACATTTTATATCTATTGAGAACTGTTCTGCTATGATCCGCTGGCGTTTGAATCCCTAATAACTAGGGCCCGGATTTTTATGACCTAAAAACTATAAATATATGCATGCACTTATGACCCAAAATTGTGTCAAATATGACCTAAAAAGTGTAAAATATGACCTTAAATATTAAATGGGACATAAAATTTCACAATTTTAATTAAAGATAAGAATAAAATTAAGAATAAAGATGATGAATATATGATAGTAGGTCCTACTTAC